TTTTTTTTTTTTTTTTTTTTTTTTTTTCTTCTTTTTTTCCGCTAAATTACTTCGTCACGGTCTGCGTCGACGTTCATGATTAGTGCGCGAGCTGTCTTCGAGCTCGCGATTGCTTCGCGGAAAAAAAAAAATTGTACAAACAATCTTCGTGCCAGACAAATTCTAAACAATCCCGATAGCCAAGATCGATGTGCACACGCGAAATGCGATTGGGACTGTGCGCAGCGCGAATGATGCAACATGCTACAACGAGTTCTTCGTGATTTATGTTACGCTATTTGCCAAATAGGTTCGTTTATTACTTTTTTATTTTTTCTTTTTCTTTTTTTTCAGCGGCGAATGTTTCATTTCGACCGTTCGGGAAGTATACAGTGACGATAGCGGATAGGATGCGAAGCTTGGTGGAGGAGAGGAGATAGAAGTTCGTACCTTTCATTTCTCTTAGGATTCATTCCATTAAGCGAAATTGATATACAGGTTCGATTACCGTTCTTTTTAAAAGGAAAAACTCGACTGGTATTTCAAACGTGTCATCGAAGAATGGAGCGTTCAAAACGCGCGTTATCGAAGATAACGCTCCTGACAATAGGCAACCGTCTTTGCCTCCCTCGCATTGCGCAATGCCATTTCAATGTAATCGTTGGTTCGTTCGTGGTTTACTGTATTTTGACGATATAAACGGCGATATTCAGAGTGAAACCTTGCTACGATACGAACTTTAATCTCAAGCAATTACACGTGGTGAACTCGAGGACAAACTCGAGGGTACATGCGGTGTGCGCAAGTGTGTTTTCCCATTGGTTCACGAATGGCGAATGGTGGAAAGCGATGGTGAATGACAAAAGCAAATTGAACGTGGGACGATACCTCTCGTAATTGAAGGGTGTCGGCTGCGGACAGACGAGGATCGTGATAAACGAAGGTCTGTAAAGGCGCCGCGGAATTACATCGACTATCGCCTCCTGGTGGCACGCTCTCTTCTAGTTGGAAGGTCGCGTACGGATAAATGTCCTCCGAGTATTCTGCAAGCATTTTCCCATCAGTTACGTTCGCGTTCCTTTTATTTGGTAACGTAATTCGTTCATAGACCGTGTAACTCTCTCGTTGTCGCGGTTCTTGATCCGACAAGCGCGCTATACCTTCCTAGCGTTAACGAGAATGTTAATGATCAGAGGTACTTATGCAAGAACTGAAACGAGCCCCCAAGGCTGACTGTTCACGTGCTACCGGTAACCATTGAAAGCCTTTTTTATCGTCAATGAAATTCACGCTTCGTCTTCGACAACGAAAGAGTTAATCAGCCAATTACACCGGCGCACTAAACAAACGCTTGTCCCCTCTCCGGTTACCTGGAATTTTTTCCAAGGTAGCCATCTCGTGTATCGGCGAGCGAAGAGGCTTGCGCACGGTCGCGTAGTACTGTTCACGCTGCTCCATGTTCTGCTTATTGTCTAAGGCAGCTGCAGTCTGGGCGTCGTGCAGGCTCGCGATTTCCCCTGTAAATGGATCTACGGTCATTGTCATCGTGGAAAAGGTTAGACGAGGAGCGCAGAGGTTAGTCCCCTCTGCGGATAAGTCGCGGGAAACTCTGTACTAACGTTTCCGTAAGCAATAAAACACGGCACCGGCAGCGGCGATGATCGCCAGTGAGCTCAGTATCAGAGGGATAATCAGCTTTAGATCCGAGTAGACGGACGTGTGCTGAGGAATGTACTGATCGATCTCCACGGACGGCACGGTGCTGCTGGTGTGAGGTTGCAGGGTCGTTATCCTGTACTCGGCAACCGAGAAACCCGCGTTATTGTGCGCCCTTATTCGGATGTCGTAGGTAGTTCCAGGTTGCAGTTCGCTGAGCGTGTACGTCTTCTGTACCTGAACAACGAATGCTACGGCTATTTATCGCGAAATCGGGGATCGACGATCTCGTTGAATTTCTAGTCGTTGCTCGAGCAATTAACGAGCGAGTTACCGGGAGGATCGAGTTTTTTCCTCTCGAGGAAATCCTTGGATATTAAATCGAATCGTACAGAAACGCGAATAGATTGCGTATCGGTTTAGTACCTCGATGTTATTCGATACTAGAGTCCAAATGTCGTCTCCGCTTTTTCTGTACTCCAACTCGAAGTACGTGATAGGGCACCCTCCGTCGTTCCACATGCTCAGATGAAGAGTGATCCACGATACGTTCACCGTGATGAATTTATCACCGTTGCTGGGCGAGTTCTCCGGCTTTGACCCATTGGTCGTGGCTTTTACAATCTCGCTGGGCGAGCCCATATCTATCCGATTGTACGCAGTCAGATACATCTGATAATCGTTCCCGCACCATAGTCGTGACAGTACGAAACTGTTGACTTTATGGGAGACCTTCACCTCCTCCCATTCGCCCGACTCTCGTTTGTAGTGCAGAATGTAACCCCTGATTGGGGCACCACCATCATCCCTGTTCTTCCACTGGACGTTGATGGAATTACTGGTCGCGCTGGTGGCGTGCAGCAACGGGGCTGCCGGTGGAACTGCAAACGCATCGCAACCAACATTATTCTACGCCATCCTCAATCTCCCGCCTTAATTCGCAGTTAGCGTTAATCGAGCACGAAAGCGCAACGTTCATTCGCCACGAGTTTCTCGTTTTCGAAGAGATCCTCGTAAGATTCGGCGGTTTCTCGTAAGAATAGTTTTAAATCGAACTGTCTACCTTGCACGGTTAAACGATGCGTGATGTGATCGGATCCGTGACGATTCTTCACGTAGCAAGTGTAATTTCCGCTGTCCTCCCGCTGAAGATCCATGATCTGCAGCGAGCCTTCCGGTAGCAAGGACACCCTGCTGGACGGTTTCACTATCTGGCCCCATTGTTTCCATGTCACCGACGGTTCGGGATTGCCGACGCTCTGACATGGTAACGTCACGTTTCGTTTCCATGGGACTACCCGCACGGTGCCGAACGAGTATATCGCCGCTCGGACTGTAACAGATCGTGCCGATTAAAATTCGATTTAACGGCACGAGGGGGTACGAGAAATTTGACTAGACTACAAAACAGCGCAGCGATACTTTTCGCGTACTCACCTTCGCTGGTTAGTGAAACCGTGATTGGCTGAGTCTGGGGTCCCTCGCCCACCGACGTAACCGCCGCGATACTGAACTCGTACTGATTTTTCTTCTGCAGGTTCTCCACCGGATAACTGGTCTGATACGGAAGCAGTGCCCGTGTGTACCATTTTCCCTCCGGGTTTACCCAGCGGATATGAACGTTGTACGACGTGATGTTCCCGTTGCTCCTGAGCGGCGGCTGCCAGGACACGATAATTGATGTCGCCGACCTGACGACCGCCTTCACGCCCGCTGGCACCTCCGGCAGATCCTCCTCGGTGACGCAATACAAAGGTGAGGACGCGATCCCGTCGCCAGCCCTGGTCGAGGCTAACACTTGGACAGAGTAATTCGTGTACTTCTCGAGGCCGTGAATCACCACAGTCAAGGCACTGGTGATCTTCATTTCCGACTTGGGCGACTCGGTCAGAGCGTCCATGTTCTCCCATATGACCTTGTAGCTTTTCAGAATGCCGTTCAGACTGGAGTCGGGCGGCGCGTCCCACGAGATTTGCAGTGATTGCGAGGACAGCGCCGCACACCGGATGTCTTGCGGTGGACTGCTAGGCACTGAGGACATTTCAATGGTGTCACGAGTCAATTACGACCTATCAGATTCAAACCGAGTTCCATCGACTAGCTAGCTGATCACTCCGATCTCTCTCGCCTTTTAATTTAGGGTACTATTCTCAGCTTCCGATTAGGTTGACCCGCTCGAGATTACCTTTCGAGCCGTGGGAAACCAAATTTTTCTTATTGCCCGAAAGTTTCCGTGTACTTAATAAATATCTGATACAGTTTTTCTTCCCTGAACTCGTTAGGTGTTTTAATCATTCTCAAACAGCCGCGTTTAAGATAAATCGGGACAGAGTAGTCAAACAACGTGGTATATCCCACGGTATTCGCGGCCGACCAAAGACCAATATTTAACATCCGCCTGAATTTTTCAAACGGTTAAAAATGACAACTCTGTCACGGTTTCGGGACTATTTTTAAATCCGATGGAATATCCGAATATTAGTTTAGTGGCCGCTTTTCGCCTACGGTATCGCGAAGACCAAAGGCTCGAAGGAAGTCGGACCGAAACGTAAACATTACGAGCGAGAGGTACGGTTCGTCGATAGATTCCAACGAAAACAACACGGAACAGGCTTGTACAGGCTCGAGGTTAATTTTCGTCCATGTTTTCCTGTTTCAGTCTCGCGTTATCCTTCGACGCGTGTGGACAAAGTGGCTGAACGCGTGACCGACTCTGCTGCCAGTTGTGCGCCATCGCGACTTAAATCTAAGGTAAGTGGTTAACCCTGCGGCGTTTGCGACGGCAGGATTAAAGAACTTATTTGCAAGCAGATCAGTTGCAGGCAGCTGGTTCTGAATCTATTATTTATTCGAAACTCGACCGGTTATACGGCGGTTGGTATTCATGGAGGAATTCGCGATAGGCTCGCTCAGCCTCCGGTATTATTTCGTTCATGAATTCTTGAACGTCTCCGAATGGCGTTCGCGAAATCTCTTCCGGTTAATGCCGCGTCCCCCTGGCGTTCGGTTTTGCAAGATTTACGAGGAATCCGATACACCTCGGAAGAAAGCAGGAAATTCATCCGTTTAAGGTTTTCCTTACCGTCCTCGAGGGTGGTCGCGACCACTTCCGGCGTCATGGGACCTTGGCCTAGCACGTTGTACGCTTGCACCACTACGCTGTACCGCGTGAACTTCTTCAAGTTTGTCAGCTGGTATTGTCTGCCGGGCATCGACGTTCTTGCCAGGCCTAGGGCCACGCTGGCCGTGGAGATTCGCCTCTCTACCGTGCGGTACGTGTACTGGTCCGCTGCCAACCTGAACATTTCGTTACCGGACATCCGTTAACGTTAAAGCGATCGAAAATTCTTTGACTCGGTGAAATACACGTACGAAGGTAGTCTCACGGAAGGTTCGATGCAGCGCGAGAATTTTTCCAGATCGTTTATATTCGCCGTGTCTCTTTTACCTATTGGTAGCTCTATTTACACGAATTTTACATCGGGAAAACGGTGATCGGTGAAAATGTTAAAACAACAGGTCGATGGACACCTGCGCGGTGTTGGTAAACGACGTCCCGTGTTTGGTCTACGCGCGTAGCTAGTGTAACGCGTTCCGAAAATATTTCAACGTCAATGGTTCGCCGGCGAAATAAACGAGAAAACCGCGACTGCCGGTTGTGGTTATTTATCACGAGGCACCGTGGCGGAGTATAGAATGTCAGCGTTATCCGAGAAACACGCCGCGTAGCGCAATACGGTATGCGGAGCGTCGCGATGCCAACGGAACGTATTCGAGGCTATCGTAAGGTGAACGCGTGGTCGTTAAAGGCTGCTCCGTTTTCCCTGCCGGATCGTTACCTATGTTCCTTGTAGCCGATGTGATAACCGAGTATCTCTCCGTTCCATAAATCATGATCAGGTGGGTCCCAGGTGACGTTAAACTCGGTCGAGCTGACAGGATCTACCTTGAGATTTCTCGGTGGGCCGCTCGGCTTCTCGCCTTCCGTCGTTGTTTCCAAAATCTGCGGAAAAGGGGCACATATCGCGGATTGCTCGACGTGACATGAAATTTTTACGTCTCCTTCTCGCGCTGTCATCCGCGTTGTTCCGAGCGCGACAAGGAGCCTGAGAATTTTAATGTCTCCGACGATGATTACGCGAGATACGCGAGACGATATTCGGCTAGGAAGAAAATTACGACCAGACGTGGAGCGCGACTTCTGTTCTGACTGTTGCGAGTAGAGGTGGATATAAATCGATTCTCGAACGACAGACGTCCAAGTGGCTGGAAGATGGACCGGTCGATTGGTAAGCGTGAGACGGGGGTGTAAGACACGACCCGCGTGGCATATTAAGCTTCCATATACTCACGTCGCTCGCCTGACTACGACCCAATTCGTTCTCCGCGTATATTCGGAACTGATAGGAGACCGCCGGACGCAGACTGCTCACGTGAGCGTGGGCCTGGGTGCCAGGCACTGTCATGTGAAACGTGTGATCGTGCCACACCTCTGTAAAATAAATTGCGTGGGCTAGAAAAGAGAAGATCGAAGCACCTGTTGAACGATCGGCTGGAATTCTATTGCATTGTTTCTTATATCTCTAGGACGCGCGTTAAAAGGTTCTCCCATTTTCTAATCGAGTTTCCCGATAATTGCACCATCGTAATTTCGATTTACCGGTGTCGGTCTTGTACTCGATGATGTACTGGGTGATGGGGCTGTTGCCATCCTGGCTGGTCGTCCAGCTGATGTTGATGTAACGGCTCCCCTTCTCGATCACGTGAAGGTTCCGCGGGAAATCCGGTGGCTCTGCGCGTTCGTCGCAAAAAGAAAATTGCTTCTGTTAAACTCCGCGGTTTCGACGTAACCGATGGGAACGTCTATAGCACGGGTGTTACGCGACGCGGAGCATACGGTCGGAACGTATTTCATTTTGCGGCCTGGCTACGCGCGATTATCTCGTCCGTCGCTGCTGCACGGCCGGCACTTGTGCGAAAACGCATTAAATTAAATGGACGAGTCGCCGAGCGAGCAGGTATACATTACGATAATTACGCGCTGCGCGACAACGTTATATGCAAATACCAAGAACCCGGAAACATTATTGAAATTGTTTCGTCGCAACGAGCCGATGTATTACGCCGATAACGTCGTTACCGTGGATTATCGTGCCGCGTGAAAAACGGCCTTTAAATCTCCGTTTACCCGAGCAATTCTCTTCCTCTTGTTTCCTTTCTCTCCCCCCGATTTTCACCGATTCACCCGAGTCATTACGCGGATACCGTGGCCGCCATTAATAATTCCTTCCGAAGGAGAGATCCCGGCGATTGTCTCCCGTTCGCGTTCCCATCCTCGAGTGAAATACGACTTCCGCGACGGCATTCTTACCTTGTATGTACAGGTGAATCGTCATTTCGTCGCGGCCGTAAGCGTTCGACGCTATGCAGAAGTATCTCGCGCTGTCCTCTCGACTCGTGCTTAGAAACTCCAGCGTGCTGATGCTACCGTCGGTGGTGTTCTCCTCCTTCAACGTGTACCGATAGTCGGACAGTTTCTGCTCCAGGTGCGCGCCCATCTTTTTCCACAGTATCTTCAGGGGATGATCACCCTTCGCCTCGCAGCGCAGCGACGCGCTCGAGCCGAGCCTCGCTGTCTGGTTACGGTGTCTCTCCACGAAATGGGCGGGCACTGCGTGCGATATCACCGGGAGCAACGATGATTATCTCTTTGGACGCTTCGCTTCCAGACTACGAGACTTTCCGCGCGGAAAATATTTCGTACGAAGAATCACCGGAATATCGCGTTGACACTTTTCTTATCCTATCGTGGGATTACTTTCTCGAGCATTCGGGACCAGATATGAAAACGAAAACCGATAACTCGGTCGATTTCGACGGATTCTCGAAAAGCTAACGTAATTCCACTAACGGAGAGACAGGACCGAGTGCCATGGGAAAAGGAACAAAATCCCGTAGATTTTGCGACTCCACTTACCGTTCACGGTCAGATGCACGACTTTGCTGATTCCAGCCCCGATCCCGTTCACCGCCTCGCACAAATAAAATCCCTCGTGATCCTCCTGTACACGAGCGAACACCAGGGACCCGTTCGAGTGTATCTTGAGGTTCTGGGCGTGCTCGTGCGTGACTATGTCGCGATAATTGCCGGGCTTCTTGCCGCTGGCCCGCCGCCATGAGACCGCCGGCGGCGGAAATCCGTCCGCGTGGCAGTGGAGGACCAGACGCGACATCCCTTCGGAGGCACGGACATCTTGGGGCTCCATCACCCAACGGGGTGGCACTGTTTCGCGGCATAACACGCCGGTCGTTAGTTAGCCGTCGGTGGTGGGCGGCTTTCGCGCACCGTCGACGACCGTGTGGCATCTGAAATTTCATCGTCCCGTCCCTTCCCTTCCATTTTACTTGCAGATCCCGTCGACTTTTAATGGATCCCGGCTGCCTCACAGCCGTGTCTCTTTTTCCCTCCTTTTTCCCAGCAATTATCGCGGTCGGGCTTGTTAGTACGTTGCGAATCGAGGGACGTCGGAGAACCGTCTCGAATTCCTCGATCACTCGTAAACGAGGCAAGTAACGCGGCAGAGGGGAAACGATTTTCAACGATAGACTTCCCGTTTGTTCTTCCCCTCCCGCTCCTCTTTCTTTCTTTGCGTTTCGGCAAGAGGGACGGGGCAAGGAGGAATATTTCAGATGCCACCGCGTTCGCATCTAAGCTTATTGCGCCGAGGCAAGAGCGAACTTCTCGAATTGGCCTACTGCAACTTCCTACTTCAGCGCAAAGTGAAACAAAAGACGTAATTTGAGGGGTGGTGCGCGCGCGCGGTCGACCGAGGGATGGGAAAAAAAGATACACATCGCGGCTTCAGGCACTTTCGTCGGATCGTATCGATCCTCGCTTATGACGCGTGTAATTCCCTCCCTCCGTCGATCGCGAATATAATACAGGCAATAGAGGAACAGAGTGGAGGAGTCGAGAAAGTGAGGTAGACGCGTGTCAGTCGAAAAGAGAGAAAGAGAGACAAACTGGGGGGGGTGAAAGAGGTGCGCGCTGGGAGAACGAACAAGTGCTATAGTCGACAATTTTCCTGGTGATTCGTGAGACAGGACAGATCTAAATAACGGTGAACGGTAAACATCGTTAGGAACCACAGTGAGAGAGATAGACAGACAGAGAGAGTGAGAGAGCAATGCAGAAGTCAGTGCTGTGCGGACATTTTGACTCAAGAACAATGCGGTGATTGTGCATTTGCGTACATACACGTGAGAGGAACGAGGCCTTTTGTGTCTTGTCCAAATATTTGTACCAATTATTTTCGATGCCCGACTCACCGACCACCGTGATACGTGGCGAGTAATTCCCGTCCGTGTATAACGTGGTCCCACATAGTAGTCCGTGACCGCTTTCTCGTTGCTCGAAAATCGCGCGAATATCGAAACACGCGAATCGTCGAAAATTCGTCGATTCGCTGTACGATCCCGAATCATTCTTCCCGAATTATTCGCCGCGTAACTCGGCGCGAAGTCGATGAGAAATTTATACTCGACCGTCGATTAAGCGGCCTCTGGGAGACAGGTTTCGGGTGCAATTTCCGGGGAACGATACGAGGCAGGTATCGCGACGAGAGGAATCGGTGGCAAGTGTTTCGTAATCGGCTGAACGAAATAACCAAGGACAAACGGATACGAAAGAAACGAAAGGGAAGGTCTGGGCGAAAAGTGAAACGAAAAGAGCAGAACGTGTCGGTGCATATATGCGTGTGCTGATCAAGTGAACGAGCCGAGAGTCGGCGTTCGAAACTTGTACTTCGAGGCTGCTGCTGGTACTCGTACAAATTCAAGATGAAGTGGTGCTACGCCGAAGCCGAATTTCGCAAAAGTGGCTGGTGCCCTTTCATGCAGAATCCCTTTCCTTCGGAGAGTACCGCGATCGCTGTTTCCGTGTCGTCGAACCCCAAGATGGTAACTTACGTACAGCACGTGCATGCAGGTATTCCTTCGCTCGAGTTCCCTTTCCGACCTTTTCTTTATCATTTTTTCGTTTTTTTTTTTTTTTTTTTTTTTTTTTTTTTTTTTTTTTTTTTTTTTTTTTCCTTTTCTGCGCCGTGTTATCCCCTCGCCGTTCGACGTACCCGAGGAATCTACTTTATCGACAGCGACGCGTTTTCCGTGAAAGAGCAAAACGACGAGTGGTACACATCTGGATCGCGGTATCTCGTCGAGCTCGAAGATCGGGAGTGGTGCGATTTCATAGATGGTGCGCCTGTGAGATAGACAACTAGACAAAGTACGATGTGACCGTGGGTGATAACGCTATCGTATTGTGCGGTGCTCAAGTGCGTTGGTGCGTCGCGTTGCTGGCTGGGCGGTTGCTGCTGCTGTTGCTGCTGCGGCGGCTGCTGCTGCTGCTGCTGCTGCGTTACGTTTTTACGATCGTTCCGGTTACCGGGTCTAGAGCTGCGTTTTTTTTTTTTTTTTTTTTTTTTTTTTTTTTTTTCCCCCCATACCCCCCAAACAAATTACAATCGTATCGTTTCGAGACAAAGGTTCGATCGCGGCGGTGTCGGTTCCATTCCCTTCCCCCGCCCGGTATGCAGCAACCGCGTGCGTTCTCGCTCGTTATCGTATCGTCGGATCCTATGAATTAATCGACGATCGTATACGGTGTAACAATGGAGAGACAAAAAGAAGAAAAGAAGAAAAAAAAAAAGAAAAAAAAAGAACGAGAGAAGAGACAAGAGAGATTTATTTCGATATATTTTTGGAAACGACGTGAACGATAAGGAAAGACAAACCGAGAGTATAGCTCGCGAACGAAGAAATCCGCAGCCCTAGCTGATTCGTTCCCATGTTTGTTCGAATTCGCGGCTGCGATGGCTGCGGCGGCTGCTGCGGCTGCACGGCTGCATTTACACGTGATTACACAATACCAATGATAATAATAATAATATAAAACGTAGGTTATGTACAGGCTGGCTCGCGGGAACGTTTAATTGCCTCCCTGTGTGCGGGTAAAGGCTACGAGGAAACGCTCGCCACCCCGGGTCACGATTTTTCGCGAGAACGAACGAAGCGTGAAAATAATTTACAGAGGCACAAACGTGACCGTGTTTCCCGCGGGTACGTAAAAGTCCGGGGTTTCAGCGTCGAAAACGGGCAACCCGCGATCTACGTACGTATCGTTCGGGAACGTTTGAGTGGCACGGATCATTGGAAAAATTGGGCAAGAATTAGCCAAAAATGGCAAGCGAGCCAAAAATGGCAAGCGACGTACTCGAATCTCGCGCATGTTCGATAATTTCCGTCGAATCGATACGAATCACGCGTTCGGTCGATCTCACAGGTGCGTCGATAGGATCGAGCACGCGGTGCTGCAAAATTCGAACGCGGCGTGAATTGCGCATCGTGATTTCGATGCAGTGGCACTTTGCGACGCAAAATCCGAACAGCGAGATCGCGCTGCGTGCCACTCGAACGGATAAACAATAGAATCGCGTATTTTCCAGCGATAACGGTAACGATGTCTCGTCGTGGCGGACATTGGCAGCGAGAATAAGATACTCGCGACCGGTGCTAGCCAAACACACGGCCAACGTTGGCGATTACGCGAGTGGAAAAGAATTTTCCACGATACGACGTGGAACCGAAGAAGGCCATCGAACGTTCGATCCGCGAAGGAAACCAGCCGGTGCACAGAGAAGATATCGACAAGATATAGACAAGTGATATATAAGTGGTGCGCTGCCAGGTGCAAGAAAGAAACGAACAGAAAGGTGAGACGGTGAGTGAACGGCATTGAAGAACACAGACAGTGCGTCCGGACGAGCTTTCAGTTCGTCCGCCCGACTCGGCTTTCTCTCGGTCTACTTTACCACGAACGATCAACTCGGCCGTCCATAGGACCTCGGCCACCGAATTGCGCGCCAGGCAAGTATAGTTGCCGGAGTGAGCGGCGCTCACGCGCTCGATAACTATGGTACTGGAATGGGCGTCAATGTTGGTTACGCGTAGCCCGGCGGGTGTCTGCGTGTGTCTGGGACCGGTTATCCCGGTGTTGCCGAAGCCAGCTGGACTGCTGGGTCCGGCGATCGGCTCGCCGTCCTTGGACCAGGCGATCGTGAACGGAGGATCGCCCTTCTCGACCATGCAAGTTACCTGAGCACGCACGCCCTCCGAGAGGTCCTTGTTAAAGCTAAAGGGGGCTATCGTGGGTGGAACTGCACAAAGAAAAAGAAGAAGAAAAAGAATAGATCGAAGCGGTGAGAGTACGATAAACGGTGTGTGGTGTACGGTATTCGTAACCGATGGCACGCGCGTGCTTCCGCTGCGCTACCGATCGCCGCTTCTCTCGGCCCCGAGTCCAGAGTTCCGTGGATGTTTGCTTCCCGTTGACACGCCGTCTCTGCTGAATGATCGATGCGCGTTTGGTCGCCGCGAAAATGTTTAGCATACGCGGTTCCAACTGTTCGACGTCGGGGGGATATATCAGGATTGATGGAGATCGCGCTACAAGCAGACGGAGTTAGGTCGATCCCGCCTATCCGACCACTGGATACTTCTCGCCGATGGATTTTCACGAGCGTACGCGTATCCGTCGCGTGTCGATCCGCGTGGATCGATCACGATTCGGAAGTTGGAGAATCAGCGTGAGGGGGGTGGTACTCTGTTTCGGAAACGTCCACCCTCTGCCTGCTGGTTACGCCTCGAGGCCTCGGATTATCTTTCGAGATACCTCGCTGCGGCATCTACACCCGAATAAATTTCGTCTTCGATAACGCGGATGCCTCGGGTACAATATACACCGACCAAATCCTTCTCTCATTATCGAAATTCGCCCGTACGTAATCTCGTTGAGGGCGCTGTTAGGCAAATGTCAGACGTAACCGGTGGAGATAGGATTTCGGGGACGTCCTCCAGCCTGCCGGCTTCTCGATCGCGGAGATCGATGTCCTTTTCGAGGATCGCGTATTTTTTCCAGGCCATCAACGTTATCGAGGCGGACGAATCTATCGGTCGCCCATACCGCCTGGCATCGTGGACGTGGTGCGCGCATTACGCTGCCCGTAATGGATGCCGAGCCGGCGTAATGCGATAACATCAACGCTGCTTATCAACTCGGCCGCGCGTCATTACGCGTACGCCATTATACGTATAGGATCGTATTAACATTGACAAAGTCACAGGGGGCGTTTCGACGCGGTTATCGCGCGAATCAATAGCGGTACGTTAATGAAATAAAGCTCCTATTTATGTTAGCGAGGGTTATTAAAAGGACCGCTGGTGATGGCCGATGTCCCCCATCGCCGCGATTTCGCGGACGTCCGTGTCGTCGATTCGACGTTGGACGATGCCTGGAAAATCCTGCACCGATGTCGACGAACTTTTCCATCCGGCGCGGTGCGCGCGAACTCGCGGATCGCTGCAGGACCAGCGACATCGGGACGAACAAAATCGTTTCGTTGGCTGGAATATTTAACAGAGCCTGGACGACGACCCTTCGGCCGGCAGGACTCTGTCGCGGCATGGAAACCGGACGTAATGCCGCGGAACGACAATAATAACTCGCCTCGTTGGCCCCGGCGAGAGAAAGAGAGACTCGCGCGCGGATGTCGGGATATTCGGTGCCCTGGAGGTATTAGAACAGAACGTGGCGGTTGTTTGAGAATAATTGAGAATCCGTACCGGGGGGTTGCCTGCAGATAGCGCAACGTTACACGAGTAATGCCCAAAGAGTTGCCACACGCCGTCGGTGTGTAGGTGCACGTCACGTACACAGATCCACGTTTCCTACGGACCAACGGTGAAGGTGTGCGTGGATATCAACCGAGTTACGCGCGACGCGACAGTTCGATAAACGAACAAACAAAACGAATTTATACGTGTTTGACGATAAACACGGCCGACGTTTGTTCCGGTCGACAGAGATCGACGATTTTGCGACGTACAGTGCGCAGCGCCGCGCTCTAAT